CCTATTAATTAACCATTTGTAATCTTATGTTCACTGTTCATTTTTTATAAATATAGGATTTGTATTAAATCTATATTCATTCATATAGTCAAATCGAATCGAGAATTGAAATAAAAAATCGAATCAAAATCGAATAGAAAATCGAATCGAATTGAGAGCTTGAAAATCGAATCGAATTGGAACATCTGAATCGATACCCAGCCCTATCCATAACACAGTCTGACCTCTCTTTACCAGCCATTGTTCTTCTCTATGCTAGTCCTACATTGAGTAGGGATCTATTTGATTCAATCTGAGGTGACTTAGCTTGATTATATCAATAAGCACATCATGCAACATTATAGATGTTGAAACTTTCACCTGCAATAAAAAGCTGATAAACTAAGTCAGATTCTCTTTAAAAGGAATCCATTGTCCATATAAAAATGACTTTCATACAGTTAGTTAGTATTTTAGTTTTGGCGTTTCAGACCCAAATATACAAGTGAAGCGGAGTGGAGTTTGATTAGAACTTTTTATTTGTTTATTCAAAGTGTTAGTTTCCTCTCACAAATGCAAGATGATCTATAATTTAGCTTAACGCAAGTAGTGGGTTTTTGAAGTTAATTCATCAGTGTTTTCCCGTACTCAATATCCATCTACAAGTTGCTTGGTGAGTTGAGAAGAACTAGGACTGTAGAAATTTTATCTGAAAAGAAAGCTACTCAATAATGGTTCAAAAACCTTTAAGATGCTTGCCTAGATGGAATTTTAGGGCATCATATACCCTAACACACTGAACAGGGCTGTGTTGCTAAATATTTTAGGTAGGCATCTCATCAGGTTTTGGTCCAGACATTATAATTTCCTCATACCTCAGAATAACCCTCAATATTCAAATAAATAATAAAAATGATTCAAATGTGATAAAACAAGGCACGTTTTAGTAAATTTTACAATTTAATTTTTTTCCTCTAGCATCATCACTCCTTCATTGCGCACGTGAGCGCGTAGCGATAGATTCAAAGGGCGACCAACGTGTCAATGGAGATCCGCTACTTGGTTTTAAGAGAAATGTCTTTTCCCATGATAGTGGGTTACAAACCTCGTATTTACCCACCAGTCTGTCTCAAATCGGCACAATGTCTCAATCTGCAAGTCTGCGCGTACTGCGACATCGCGAATGATGTAACTGACCCGAAACGTTGAGAGGCTATCACAAAGAGAGTGTTGCTTGCACCCTCCAGACTCAGAGTTCAGGTTAATTCATTGTGTTAAAGCTCAAGACGCGCAGTTAAATGGACCCCCTCTCTCTCCAGTAGGACCACGTTGTCCTCACAATTCGCTTACAAATACTACCATGAAACACATACCTGCACTTTTCATTCACCAACTCCGGTTGTAAATTCGCGCTATCCGTCTGCGGTGTGCGGCCCCGGTTCACTGAGCAGCATGGAGAGCTCTGAATGGCTCCGTGGATTCGTGGAGATGTGTGGTGTGAGTTTTCCATCCGCTTTGATAGATTCCCTGCTGCACATGCGCACAACTGCTGCACGGCCCCACGAGCGCTATGTGGTGCAATAGTCTCCAGTTACAAGGGCACAGGGAGTTATGACTTTGACCGTGATGTTAAAACCCCACCGGGACCTTTTAAAGCCTAAGCTATACATTATTTGCAATTTTACTGTAGCCTAATTTAAATGATAACGAGGGGGAAAAACGCAAGACAGTAAGTAGGCTAACTTGAACTTTTAAAGTTGTGTTCAACACAAACTTTTTGTTTTCAAGTAAAAATATCTAAACATTCTTAAAATAAAATATATTAAATTGAGAAGGAAAAAATAAGATATTTAAGTACTAAGTAAATATTTAAGATGAATGTGGATGCTTTTGACTTTAATTCAAGTATTAGGCCTATGTGTGTATGTATTGGCTACGACTTTTAATTGAATATCCTAATATTTTGAAATAGTATCTGTACTTTAACTTAAGTGCAGTTTCTTACATCATATTAAGGCTTTTTCTATTTTTTTAATGTAAGTTTTCTGCTTAAGTAAACTGAAAAGATGTTTAGATATAGGCTATTTAATATCTGAGTAGCTTCCTTGTATTCACCAATATTCTGTCGTCTCCCTTTCTTTCATTTCCAGTTGACAGCATGTGAAATTGCTGTGCTGCACCAGCAGAGATTAATTAATCTTTTGTTAATAAGCATGGGCTCCAGTCACGGCAGTAAAGAGAACAAATCCCTTCACTGAATCAGAGATTGCCATATGAAAGAACACTGAAATTAAAGAAGAATATGAAAATAAGTCTTGGTAAACCACTTATTCTGTTTATTTGAATATTTCCGGTGTGCACAAGCATGCAAAACACAGATAGTGACCACAAATCCTTAACCAATGAAGCTCCTTGAAGAATCTACTTGTATAAACAGAATAACACATTAATCATTTGAGATTCCAAACTTTGCACATCAAAAGTTGCTAATCAAAAGTTCAATTTGCAGAGACTGAATCTCACCACAGAATTCCAAAATGTGCATTGAGAAATAACTGAAACATTTGTGTGACCATTCGACAGACCTGCAGTTTACAAAGGTTCACCTTTACATAGTGTCTTGTATACTTTGTATACATAGTGCCTAGTATACTTTGGTTGTGTGTATGAATGAATAAATGTCTTTAGTTTATATATGCTAAACAGCAAGGATCAGGATTAGTTACAGGATCTGATATTTCCATAGAAGTCCCCTGGTGTGTTCCTGTATATCACACTCTGAAATCAGTTTTGAAGAAACATTCTTAAAGAAAGCACCTACCAAACATCTAGATGTGATTGTTCATTTACATTCCATATTTTTTATTACATTTTGAGCGTCCGAAGCATGCAACAGAAGTGATGGAAAAGCTGAAATTCCAGGAAACTCTCCTCTGAAGCATTCCAACTTTAAACAGGAGTGGAAATCAATACAAGTGGAATCGTTCAAATCTAGTCATGCGCTACAGGTATATGTATGTAAACATTTTTGATACCATGATCCACGTGCAAATCAATTTGATTCAAAGGTGAAATAACTTTTTAAAGACTACTCTTATAGTAGGCTAAGTTGGAGAGTTCAGTAGCTACTGTTTAGCACAGCTCGAAATGAGCACTTCCATTATTCATTCAATGCTTATTCATATGCTAACCTTTCTCTTTTTCTTGCACTCTCTCTTTCAAAACAGATACTGGCATACTTTATATCCTGCTTTCATTATCTTTCGGGATTCAAAGATCACGAGCACAGCTTTATCAGAATCAAACACACCCATGAGACTTTACAGGTGAATTATTTTCTTGGCAAACAATAGTTAAGAGTCAAAGCCAAGAATTGCCAGAACCACATAGCGATAACATAATTTGTGTAAGTCTTTGGTTAGCGCTACATAGGTTTAAGGTGCAGTCAGATTTACTGTTGTTTGGCAAATTTTTGCGGGCGTAATCCAGTCATTTCAATAGAAATCCATGCAATTGACCCTTCGCAAAAACCCGCCCTCCTTAGTTACTGTTGCTATGTCTGACAAGCCATGCCACTCTCACACTACACAGCATGTTCTCACGCAATAATAAATACATCGCAGAGCAAAGAGGAAACTGACCACACCCCGACAGACAAGACAAAACAGGTTACTTCTGGTATGAAACAAGGACTCAGCTTAAATTTTTTTTAAAAGAAATTCAAACAATAAATACCATTTTGTGGCTCTTTAATGTGTCATGACAGATCACTGTACTGCCTCAGTTCAAGCGGCATGTACTGATTGTCTTTTCATATTTACTTAAAGCACGAAATAAACATGAATAAACATCATAACGTATTTTATTTCAACTGCGGAAAGGCATACATTTTTCAAGTTTAAATTCAAGTTGATCTACTCTCCTGTCTGATTCGTTTGTCGGGAAAGATGGCGGATTTGGCGATATGATTGGTCAGATCGCCTGTCAATCAAGCTCTTTGCAAACAGTCAATTGGGAACTTCGAGTGAAAGTCAAAAGATTTCCATACATAAATTTAGTAATGGGTTTAATTTTGTCACGTGAATTTGTGGCATTGACCAACAGAAATCTGCTTGGTTTTAAATAAACGAGCAATGCCCCCCAAAAATATTACCATAAATTTGTGAATGTGCACCTTTAAAGATATTTAGATTAGATAGCTTGGAGCCATTTCCATAGACAATTAAACTATTTTAAAAAGGGATGCTTTTGAATTTTCAAAAATCTATATGACTTCTGTGGAACACAAAAGAAAATGTGTTTTTTTTTGTCAAAGCAATGAACGGTCTAGTGTTGTTTTGGACCCCATTGACATTCATTATATGGACAAAACAGTCCATTTCAACAATTCAAATATCAAAACATCTTTTTTGTTCTGAGAGTGTATATTTTCCTTATTTCGCAGAACCAGCATGTTCCCACACAAATCCTCTCCCTCTATTTGTTATTTTTTCCTCTACTGCAGATGTAGAATGACCTGTCTCTGTTTGAACAGATCAGAGGTGGGAACTTTAACCCACAACCCCACAACACAAGCAAACTAGCCCACAGGCCTGTTTATCCACACTGAACTTCTTCTCTGCACAAGTCCCTCTCAAAACATCCCCTGCAGTTCACGAGGAAAACCGCCTGTATCTCCTCCTGTTTCAGTACCACTTATGATCAACAGAAGCCTATTTTTCTGTACACAAACCAAATATTTACATCAGCAGCGGAGATGGGTGGAGCAGTATTTTAACAGAATAATGTGATTAATACTGAACTGTGGATACGGTCATGGCCATCAATGGGATGGATGGCTTGCTCTGATTTCATTTGGCTTGGCTAAACTTGTATCAGCACATACTAATATCCCTTCTGCTGATCTAAAAGTCATTTCCAGAATTTGTTAGCGGAAGAACATCACAATTTGAAAAGCCTCTTTTTATCTAGTTGTATTAGAAATTCATTTTCATGTAAGAAGCTATTGTATGCTTCGGATGATTCCTCCAAAAGCTGAGGTTTCTATATATGAGGAGGATTTTTGATGAGAGCTCACTGCTTAGTTTGGTTCAAACCACCACTGAATACAGATTAAAAGCCCTGATATACTTAAAGTGAATTTGAAGAATGAACTGGTGTTCATGTTTGTTTGGTGAGTTTGAAACAGCTTGCCAGAGTGAACTTGCCGGAAAGATTGCTGGAAAACACCTTTGCATGGAAATCTTTTCCAGTTCATTTCTTCTGTTCTGTCCATCGAGGTCAGATGCAAGTAAAAACATGAACACATTGGATGGCTACTTTATAGTAGAATTATATCAAGGCCTTAAAATCACCAACCCTGAATCACAAGACCCTCAGTACAACAGAAATATCAAGTGCAATACAGTTCGAGAGATAGGCATTTACTACAACAGACAGATAGCCGTCTACAGGACCATAACTGTCACCATGACACTGACCAGAGACATGCAGAGAAGTTGTGCTCTTTTTTTCCTGTTACTAAGGGGAGACATGTGGAGTGAGAAGCATGTGACATGCTCTAGATAGTACAGAATGTAGTATAACACATCTCATTTAAATGCCTAATTCAGTGGCACACATATTTTCCACCAAATGAAAGAATGTGTTGGCCCCTGATGATATACTGTGAGTTGAAAGGATATTCTCAGCACTCACACAAGGCCAACAATGATCGCTAAATACCCATCAACACGTACTACTGAATACTGAGCACAGTCAATACTGATTGAAAAACAGGTTCTAGCCCCAAATGTGTAATGAGATGTGATATGAGATGAGTGTATCAGCCAGACTGTCTCGTCCTCTGCTTTATGTGCAAAACTAAAAACAATGCAAAGCAGTGGTTCTTAACCAGTGGTCTTCTATTCTAGGGCCTTAAGATGACTTGAAGTGATTTAACGTAAGAAAAAACAAGCTTTAATATAAGCTAAGCCAACTACAAATCAAGCTGTTTCTCATTTTAATTCACCTACTGAACAATGTTTATTTTTGAATGAAGAACCAGGATTCCTGTGGTCTTGGAAACTTGAGGTAGCTTCATTTTAAAGGCGTGATTTAAACCTGGAATTAATAAAATCTTAAAATGCCATGGGCAGTATTATAAAGAATATATGTTTTTCTAGTTAAGCCAAGTTCTAAAACATTTAATCGGGTATACATTGTGAGTAAAAAATAAATAAAATAAATATATAAATATATAATCATTTAAATCAAGCAAATGTATCCAGTGAACTACTAAAGTCATGTATTAATAATGGAGGATTTTGAACAACATTCAGCTCTTTAAACTTCTGTAATCCTGAAATTTATTTTTTAATAACTGATGTTATGTTAGGGCAATTCCAATTTTATTTATCTAACAATTTTTATTTTTCAGGATTTCAACACTATTTCCTGTAACTGCAACACAGAATTGCAATGCAATATAACTTTATATTATGCATGTGACTTTATATCTTACATTAAACTCACAATGACCTGTTGTATTTTTTTTCTC